GATCGACTCCACGAGGTCGAGCGGGCGGGCTGGCGGCTGCAGCAGGTCTGCGCCGCGGTCGGGGCGATGTTGCCCAAACCGTCGGGGGGCGGGCGCATCGCTGGCGCGCTGGCGATGGCGCCCGCGGTTTGCAGCAAGCGACGCGCTCCGATCACGGACCAGTGCCCGAAGGTGTCGGGGAGTTTTGGGACGCGGCCGCCAAAGGATCCAGCGCCTTCCGCGCGGCGCCCGCGCGCGCCCCTCGACGAGACGCGCGCGGCTTTCGGCGTCGCGTTCGCGACGCTTCTATTGGATGTCGAGAAATTCTACGACGGCGTCAACTTGCAGCGCCTGCTGCACGCGGCTGTCGACCGGGGCTTCCCCGCCATCGCGGCGGCGCTCGAGGCGGAGCTCTTCGCTCCGTGGTGCCTGCGCGCGCGGCTGGGCCGGCGAGGCGAGCGACTCCCGGCGCTCGATCGTTGCGGGCAGCGCGCACGAGGGCAAGTTCGCGAAGGCGCGCATAGGGCCCATTTCGCGCGCCAGCGTCACCTGCGCGGGCCCGCGGGCGCTCGCGGGCGACACTGTGGCGCGCGTCGTAGGGGCGGAGGAGCAGGTGGTCCGCGACCTCGCGGGCGTCGGCGGCGTCCTCTGCGCGGGGCTCGTCGAGGCCGAGCTCGAGGTCTCGCTCGAGACCGCCGCCATCGCTTCGAGCCGCGCCGTGGCTTTGTCCGCGCGCGCAGCGTTGCGGGTGCAGGGGGGCGCGGGCCACGGCGGCCAACAACGGCGTCGACGTAGGCGTCGACGCCGCGGGCGCCAGGCGGCGCGTCATCGCCAAGGCGCAGGTCAGAGCGTCCAGGGCAAGGGCTCGGACGGGTCGCATCCTGTCCAGGTTCCGCAAGCGCGCCTCGCTCGCCGAGCTGTCGAGAGGCGCTTGGGCTTCTGGATCCCGACCGCAGGACCTACGGGCACCAGATCACGGGAATGGCCCCTTCCCATGCGTTGCTGCAGCGCCGTCTGGCGCCGCGGGCCGCTGGCGCAAGTCGCCGGGCAGGCGCCTGGCCGCGGCGTCGGCCGTCGCCCTCGGCGACAGGGGTTCCGCCGCGGAGCTCGGGCGCCAGACCGCGCGCGCGTGGCTGAAGTTCTGGTTCAACCATCCGCGTTGCTATTTTCGCATTCGGCAGGCTCGGCGCAGGGCCCATCTGGGCAAGGCCGAGCTGGGCGAGGAGAAGTGGCGCGAGGTGATCGGGCCGATCTCCGACCGACGCGGGGCGGGATTGCCCGCCCTCCGCGGAGTGGTCGATGCCCGCGAGGCCTAGCGAGCCTCGCCTTCAGACGTGGCCCCCCCCCCGCACCAGCGCATGCCTGATTGGGGGGAGAGGCGTGACAGCGCGGGCCCGACGGAGTTTCTGCAAGACTCCGCCCTCTCATTCTAGGGCGGTCTTTGGGGGGCCGTGGCGAAGCATCCTGACGGTGGCGGGCTCCAGCGTGGTGGACCTGGCGCCGGCAGTGCATCGCTCAAGATAAACGAGTTCCCCAGGGGCGGCCACCGCGACCTCTGGGCCCTCGACCTCTGCGCGGCGTCTGGCGGCCAGCGGGCGAGGGCCCGCACGGCCGAGGCGGAGTGCGAGATCGACGCCGCGCGCGAGCGATGCGGCGAGGCAGCGGGGGACCTCGTGCATCGCGCGCGGCTGCGCTCGCGCTACAATGGGCGCGAATACTAAGACACGTCTGATGTTTAAATGCCGTCGGCCCTTGCTTCCGCGGAGGCCCGGCCTGCCCGCGGCCTTCGGCGACGGGCCCGGTGGCCTGTTCAGCGCAGGTCCACGCCGTCGCCGCGCCTCGCGCCGAGCTTGCTGCTGTCGCCCCCGCGCTGGAGAATTCGGCTGGCCGCGTCCTCTTCGTCGCCGACCACCTCCCTCCGCTCTCGGGATGGCTGCCCGGCAGACAGGCGCGGCCGCGCGCCGGCGCCAATCCCGACCTTTGGCAGCGCATCGCCCGTGCTCTGCAGCAGAGAAGCGCTTGCGATGTCGAGGTGGACTGGGCCTCCTCTCGCAGCGAAGCCATCGCGGGACTTTCCCGCAACCCTCGTAAGGCCTCTCTCATAACAGGCAGCGCGTGCGCTGGCGCCCGGGCAGGCGAGGCCGCGCGTATTTCGTGGCAGCAGGCCGCGGTGGTCGAGGTCCCGCCCGCCGACTTGCTGACTTGTATGACGCGCAGCGCGCGCTGATTCGTCGCAGAGCTCGCAGGGCCTTGGCTGATTCTGATTCCACGGTGGCGGATTGCTGGCTGTCCGTTCGGGCTTCGACGGCCAAGGCGACGGGGCCGAGAAGGCTCCAGCGAGCCCTCCAGGGCAGCCAACACAAGTATCAGTTGTGTGGCAGTAAGGCGCACTGTGCGTGCTGACGCGGCCTTTCGGGGCCACGTCCTGCTGGCGCACAGCACCCCTTTGCGCGCCTGTCGCCTCTGCTCCTACAGCCGGCGACGCGATCTCGATATCCCCGTGTTTGCGTGCGGGCGCGTGCTGCATGCGTCTCACGACTTGTCTTCTATGCCGACATGCACATTGTATTCATATGGAGCGCTCAGGCATCGAAACCGTCCTGTGACGGGCCCTGCTTGCCGTGGAACGGCACGGCGACGGG